TTGCATCCTCATTACAACTTAGAGCCTCAACATCATTCGTGTAGTGCTTAGATCGACGTCGTTCATTGCCCGAATAGATTCCTGCAGCAGTAGTCGGACGTGCCTATCTGCGCAGCTCGGTACGCATCATCCGCATCATCCGCATCCACCACCACCTCGACGGCAGGCCATGCCGCCGCGCACGGAAGACGAGCCGGTGCAGACACCGCCGTATCACGACGATGCCGACTCCGAACGAGAGGACGAGTCCGAAGATGAGGGTGAAGGGGCGCGCATGCTGAGGACTCTCGATGGGTCCGGGCCTGAAGTTGAGGCTGCGCCTGGCGCCGCGCTCTCACACCCGCGAGAGGAGGAGGAGCTGCTCAAGCCGCCCGAGAAGCCCAAGCCCATCGCGTGGCGCGATCTGCCGCAGAAGCAGCAGTTGTTGGTCATTACGCTTACGAGGTTGAGTGAGCCGCTGGTGCAGACTTCACTGCAGGTTCGTCCCTCTCATTCTGACCCCGCTCTCATCTCACGCCTCATATGAGATTCAAGTCTTGGCAAGAGGATGAACATAAATGTCACTAACACAGCTCGTAGTCCTACATGTTCTACCAACTTAAGTGGTTTGACCCGACGCTCCCGGACTCGGTCATCTCCTCCCAGGCTGGCATCCTCCACGCCTCCTTCACCGCAGCCCAGTTCATCACGGCCATGATCTGGGGCCGCCTCGCCGACTCGAAGCGTTTCGGCCGCAAGACCGTCCTCATGATCGGCCTCCTCGGCACGTGCCTGTCGTGCGTCGGCTTCGGCTTCTCCCAGAGCTTCGCGCAGGCCCTCTTCTTCCGCTGCATCGGCGGCGCCACCAACGGCAACGTCGGCGTCCTCCGGACCATGATAAGCGAAATCGTCCGCGAGAAGAAGTTCCAGGCCCGCGCCTTCATCCTGCTGCCCATGACCTTCAACATCGGCGTCATCATCGGGCCCATCCTCGGCGGCATCCTCTCCGACCCCGCAGGCAGCCACCCGGGCCTCTTTGGCGACGTGGAGTTCTTCAAGAAGTACCCCTACGCGACGCCGAATCTGCTGAGCGCGGTGTTCCTCTCCTGCGCAGCGTTGAGCGTGTGGCTGTGCCTTGACGAGACGCTCGACGCCCTCCGCGAAGAGGGCCCGGACCCGGGACGCCGCCTCGGCTCGAGCATCGCGAACCTCCTCCGCAGAGTCTGGACCCGGCTCCGCCACGGCCGCCGCGGCGCGATACGGCTCGACGACGCGGCCTACGCCCAGCTGCAGTCCAGCTCCGCCAGCAGCACCGACGTCGAAATGTCCCCCGAACACCCCGCACCCAACAAGAGACCCAAGCCGCGGTACACCCACCGCCTGCCCTTCCGGCGCATCTTCACCCGCAACGTCATCATGACCTTCTCCGCGCACTTCTTCCTCGCCTTCCACGTCGGCACCTTCAACGCGCTCTGGTTCGTCTTCCTCTCGACCCCGACCTCGACCTCCCCGCCGCACCTCCCCTTCCGCTTCACCGGCGGCCTACGCATGCCCCCGCAGAGCGTCGGCCTCGCCATGGCCATCCTCGGCGTCATCGGCATCACCCTCCAGCTCTTCGTGTACCCGCGCCTCTCCGCGCGCCTCGGCACCGTCCGCGCGTGGCGGCTGTTCCTCTACTTCTTCCCGCTGACGTACTTCCTCGTGCCGTATCTGTCGGTGGTGCCGACCACGCCGTCCGCGCCGCCGCCGGGGCCGAAAGGCGGGCCGGCGATCTGGTTCGCCATCGTCGGTGTCTTGCTGTTCCAGGTGCTGGGGCGCACGTTCGCGCTGCCGGGGCAGACGATCCTGATCAACAACTGCACGCCGCACCCGAGCGTGCTGGGCACGATACACGGGCTCGGGCAGAGCGTGAGCAGCGCGGCGCGGACGATCGGGCCGGTGCTGTGCGGGTGGCTGTACGGGCAGGGCCTGGCGGGCGGGGTTGTCGGCGCGGTGTGGTGGGGGTTGGCGGGGGTGGCGGTGTTGGGGGTGCTGGCGAGCTGGGTTGTGTGGGAGGGGGATGGGCATGAGATTGTGTTGGAAGGGGATGAGGAGGAGGAGGAGGTGAGGTGAGAGAAGGTGGAGGGTTGTGTAGATAGGTAATGACTATGGATAGACATTAATTCTTAGTATTTTCTGGTGCGATGGTTGTGTGCTGGGTGTAAGTGTGATATTTGGTATTCCGAGTGGCTTGGAAGGTATGTTGAGTATGTTGGGAGGGGTATATAATCGAGCCTGTCGCTGTGGGACGCAGAAATCCAGCCCGCGCGGAATTGGCTTCCAAAAGACTTCGCAAGAAGTAAGAACTTTGGCTCTACTGGTTCAGAACACTTTGTGGGTCAGAGACAAACAATGGTGTCGAAGAGTTGAGACTTGGTTGTCATCGCTCAAATGAATACTCGTGGATAGTCTCCGGACAGAGATGAGGACCACCGTCTGGAACGATGAGCCAAGGTAGCTAGATCATTGACTTTGGAGCTGTGGGAGACGATGGCAAAAACATGCTTCATGGAGTAGAGCGACGGAGGAGTTTTACGACTATCCTCCACCAATTGCTTGTTTGCGGTTGCTCAGCCGGGGAATGTTGGTGTATTTATATGCATCATGAGCCGCTCTCATGTCGTGCGTGATGAGCGAGGCGAAGGTGGGAACCAGGTATATATTTCAAGTGATTGGTGGTTTCGTTGGTGGCATGACAGATGATGCATTTTGAACGTTGTTTCTGGAATGGATATGCGCGACAGCCCCGGCTGCAGGGTCTTGCTGATGATATTGGACCAGATGAGGTTGATTATCGTCGAAGACTAGCTTGAAGGTTGATTGTATCTTGCCGGCCTTGACCTTTGTCTTTGGCTTATTCGAAGGCGACGCCGGGCGAGGATGAGTATGGGTGTGAATGTCAGGGGAGAATTAGGAAGTTGAGATCTGTGTGCAGGATGAACAGGCTAAGGAGTGAGGCAGCAGAGGCAGTAGAGGCACCCTTGCTATGGTCCGACGCGATTGCTCCTTTTGGTTTCTTGTGTTTTCTTATGACGACTGTATATTTATATACGTCAAGAACCGGCTCTCATACCGTTGTATGGTAGGTCACAGGACTTGCGATGACCAATTTTTTATCTGTTTTGCGTGGTAAGTCTGGTGGCAGCAGACCAACAATCGATACTTCGTTCGAAGACGTGGCGCCGTTTTCTTGGCCTCATGCTTGGCCGTCTCCCTGCTTTGAGGGTTGTTGAGGTGTGGTCTCTCATTTGAAGTAGAAGACCACACTAGAAGGAGGTTGAATGAGACGAAGTTGGAAGTTATGGTTCTATGACCTCTCTATTGGAGGAAGAGAACCGCATCCAAGGATTGGAATAAGTGGTTGTGGTGTTGCGGGGAGAAGGTATCTGGGCTCTGGAAGGCGAACTCGTATTCCTTTTTGAATATCTCCTATGTTGGCCTATAGAGGTGTCTCTAGCCCGGTCCAAGCGGGCCTCGTGAATACAATTATAGAGAAGCTGAAAACGTGTACCCGTAGACTGGTAATCTGCTAGGTACGAAAAAGCAACCAAAAGTTGAAATGAAGGGGGAATGGTCAAGAAGATGCTGCGCAAAGAATGAGGGGAGCGCAGGGGGATCAAGACGTGTCTTCAGAGATGGTGCTGGAGATCGTAGGAAACATCGCAACCAGACTGAACCCTGATTTAATCTGCTGCGATTTTCTCTCTCGTCATTTTTCGTAAGGTCAGATACTTATATCGATGAACATACGAATATTCCGCAAGGGACAGATTACGAGAGCTTGGCAAAGGCAATCATGACCGCCACATGTGCGTGCGAACATGTGGCACGACATTGGTCGAAATCACGGGCAGTATCACTCGCACGTCCGCCTCTATCAGACCAAGATAGAACATGCGTTTACTGGAGGGTAGCATTATTTAAGTTCCATCAGTTGACGGGGTACATTTGAAATCTCAACCCCAGCAAATGCTGATTCCAGGGCACTGTTGTGAAATGTCCCGACTTGAGGTGCTGCATTGTCCTGCCTGTGTAGAGACTTATCATACTCTGGGTTGCCTACGACTTGTCATCATGGTGATATTCAACGCTAGACATTTGCACTTTATCGCCGTTTTTCAAGTTCTGCAGTGTATCAGTGAACGTAACATCGAAGGAACGAGAGAAAGTCGGCTTGTTCAGAGAGAGCAGTGAGAGCACCTGGAGATGAAGTTCACCTTCTTTTCGAATCAGGTATGAATCTATACCTAACAAGAAGAATTAAGAAATGAATTCATTGCTTGTGCCTTCTGAACAAAAACCAATGGTGATGGGAATATATATGTCTCTGTACGCGCGCGCAAGTGTGATTGAATCTGAATGAGTCATATCTTCCCTGTTAACAACAGAACACCTAGTATGCATAGTCTCAATCGAAATTGATCTATTCATATGGATTGAAAGCAACACCGAAGCGCTGACAAAAAGAAGAGGGAACGTTCATAAACCAGAAGAAAACTTCACAATGGCCCCGTCCTCTCCGACCACAAAGTCAAGAATTATCCGTAAAGATCCTGGGGGCGCCATTATGGCTGGCTAAAAAACACTAGGAATGCTATTGAAATCTCTGAGACACAACCACAACCCTCGTACGGGCCGTTGCCTTTTATTCAGTTCTCAGTTCGTTCTCATGGCTAGGGAAAGCTAGACATGTGTAGACTTATACATGTACAAGTTCCGTCTAGCTGATGAAGTCGGCGCCGCTTTCTCTCGGCTTTTCCTATGATGTATTACGAGGTTTGAAAAATATGAAGATGTCTAACTATGCCCCTAACTCAAACTGTTTTCCCAAGTTACCCCTGTGCGGATGGCTATTGTCCCAGTAATAGCAGATCGTGCAGAACTGGAGATTGACAACCGAGTCAAAGACAAACAGTTCAGCTTACTTAAACATTCCTATCAGCTGCGACGGTGATCTCATCCAGCTTGGATTTCACTCCAATTCACTCAAACATCTGCCACTGGTTCTGCAAATGCTCAATCTGGATCAGAGTCCCCCAAGACTGGTCCCTGAGACCATTCATCTCCCGCTGGTACGCTGCACTTGTGACCCCCTCGGTCGTCGCATGCCATCCCAGCGTGCTATTCCCGTGCTCATACCCGTCAGTCGTACCAAAAAGCACCCTGGCGCTCTGCATACTGCCCCATACGGCGCTCTGGGTGCCGGCATTCAAGGACTGCACGACCTGCATCTCGTGTACCACTCTCAGCCGCCGGATCTCCACAACCGTCTGGATGTACATCTGGATTCTCGTCCTAGAGAACTCCACGAGCCTACCTGCGTTGCCGACTTCACAGGCTTCCACCCACTTCTGTCGCATGCGCCGAGAGTACATGCAGCACATCCTGGTGTCTGGCACGATCTGTTTGTGATATTCCATTGGCAGACTGGAGGCGGCGGGATGTGCGTCTTTGCAGAAGGTCACCCAGCACTCTGGGCAGATTGTGCAGTCGTCCCAGCCGTACCACTTGCCGTTCGTAATCTTACCATCTCCGGCGCATGGTGGAACATCCGCGAACCTGTGAACCCAGTTGGAGTATCTTGACCAGACACCCGTCTCAAGAGCCTCCTGCCAGCGATGAATATGCTCCGTCCATCGCGGATTTGAGGGATGAAGACTACAGACAAATGGCTTTGTAGGGTCTACACCTCTTGCTACCTCATAGAATCGATCAAGCTTGAGAGGGCTGACCCACGCCGCGTGACAAGCCGGGCAGATTCTGAAGTCCTCGGGCGCGTTGCCGCCAGCTAAGGTGTACCACGTATCTCGGGAGGTTCCTTTCTCGGTACAAGGGGCGTTCGCTAGGATAGTCTTTGCTGCTATGACAAGAGCATCGATGTTTTTCAGGTCTTTAGCCATGGACATGGCCGCAGCCAGAGGGAAGTTGTTCGTCACGCTGCAGAGCCAGGGTTCGGGTTCTTGTATGCGATGGCCGAGTGCCACCTCCATCCAGTTCGGTCCCTTGGGAATGGATTCTACAGGAATGAATTCGAATTCATAGCCAAGTGGTGTGGATGCCAAATTCTCGTCGAAGCATTTCTCGCATATTTTGAGGTTGGGTACGCGTCCGCCGGATAAGCGCACCCATTTCCGCGATAATGGGGAGACGGCTAGTCCTTTCTCGCACTTTGGGAGATTTAGGTACTTGATAGTCGATTGTATCCAGTCTTCCCAAGTACGAGTCAAGGAGTAGTTGATCAAGATCCGACCGATGTAGGGAATGCAGATATCGCACGCCCAAACGTCGTCTTCTGCTTGAGTTGAGTCGTAGATTGCCCAATTGTGGTGGAAAGCTGTGCCTAGGATCACCTCTTCGAAGCACGCCTCGCATGAAAGGAAGCCATTTAGTCTTATATCTAGTGGCTTGAACCACTTGACGCCAGCAGTTCCTTTCACGCCGCCTACACCGTGGCAATCTTGGATGCTGAGACGCTTCGTCATGTAGTCTCGAAGAGGCTGCGGATCTAGCGTTTTGATGTACTGAGGAATGAGGACTTTCGTAGCTCGATGCGCCTTCAAGCCACATGCCCCTCTGGGCCTCCGAACACGTCTGAAGGAGACTGAAAGGGGGGTAGCTGCAAGGTACATCTCGTAGCAGCAGGTGCAGATGGTGAAATTTGGGATGTCAGGGAGATGATACCAATCTGTCTCGTAGTCGACGACTCGTGATTCCGGGCAGTCCCACATGACATCGTTGGGCTTGCCGTCTTCAGAAATGATGGGTATCGGCACTGCTCTTCTCCATCCATCGAGGGCAGGGTCTGAGCTCTTCGATGTGATTGTTCGTGTAGGGCTGCTCTGAAAGCTGGTATTTTCTTGCCGAGAACGGACTTGCTCAGTATTTGTAGTTGGTGGCTGCTGAACAGAGAGCGGCGAGTCTCTGGATTCTGGTCGCTGCCCAGAAGGTGCCGGTGCAGGTCTCAGGGGTAAGTTATGAATCAGCATCGAAGAGGCTGTTGATTCGGAGCTGGTAGATACACTTGCCACAGCATCCTTGAAGTTGCTTTGGCCATTATCCGGATTACCACCTTCAAGGGGTATCTTTTGGGGTGTGGGTGGCGGAGGTGGATAGGATGTGTGCTGCTGATCGGCTGGTGCGACAGCTTCAGGACTGATTGCAGATGAAGAGGTTGATGTCTCTGCCTGCACCACATTGGATTGACCAAAGGGTTGGTAGTGATAAGGCTCACCGGTGATGTACTGAGCATCAGTTGGAACAACTTCATGGTTCTCCGCCGGTCGGGTGTTGACTGGTAACGGCGGTGGAGGGGGGTAGTGGTGATTCTGAGACGCTGGTGAAGGACCGCCATTGAACTGCGACTGAGGACTCTGGGAAGATGCCGCTGTAGAAATTGCGTATGCGCCCTGTTGATTCTGGCCTTGTGAGTTGTAATTCTGAACTGGTGAACCCGTGCTTGCAGGCGAGATAGATGAGATTGGTGGCAGGTTGACATTGGGTATCTGCGTTTGTGGTGATCCAGAGTCGCTGTGCTGCATTCGTTGACCTGGCTGGACTAGATACTGCGACAATCTCTGTTGGGCTTTGTTCTTGACATTCTGGTAGGAGCCAAGCAGCTTTTCGATCTTCAACCCAGCATCGAAGGGTTGAGATGCATGGGTCGTCGGACCAGGTGACTGTGAGACAGCGGTAGGAGAAGTTGGATGAGAATGCAATCCTTGAGCCGCATGTTGATACTGCCCTGACGGACTTGTCGCCCCGTATTGCGGTTGTTGAGGCCACTTCCCTGGATCATATCCTTGAGGAATGGCTGAGGGCGAGACGGGTGAACTGGGGTAAGAAGACTGCTGGTGCCCATGGCTCAAAGTCGACGTAGATGGAGACCCTCCGGTGCTTTGGGGCCCTTGAAGGTATTGAGACGGTTGGTATGGCGCGTGCGAGACCGCTGGTGGCGGCGGTGGAGGATAGCTAGCCGCCGGGCTAACGGCGCGCGGTGGGAGCGGGGGCGGGGACAGCGCGGCGGGCTGACCCGGAGGCGGCGGGAAGTAGGGGTAGCTGCGGGAATCCATCTATTCCGTTTATGAAGCAGAAAGCATAGGACTACCGGGATTGATGGTCTTGATTTCGTGTATGAAGAGGAAGAGTCTATGATATAGCACAATTAGCAACGGTGAAGGGATGAATGAAGCCTTGGCAGGCTTTCAGCTGAATAGACGCCAAGGAAACCTCAGCCCAGCGGGGCGTCGGGCTGAGACCTTACCGCCTGAGAGACTGTTGAGCAGGCAGAATTGTGAAGTTCAGCTGGTTTTTGGTTGTCTGGGGGTGACGCATCATGCCTCACGAGGGCTAGCGTCGTTCTTGGCTCAAGGCAGGTTGATGAGGGCGCGGCCATGCAAGCCGTTGAAAGCGGCACCCAAGGTTTATAGTAATTTTGAATAATGTCAGGTTGGCATTCGTCACTGCTGATGAACATCATATCATTCCTGAAAGACAAAAGAAAATAGTCTCGCTGGAATCCTCAATCAAATGATATGGTTATTCATCTCCATTACGTCAAAACTGGCAATTGTTCAGCCTGACAACGGCAGCGTTCAGGGAAATTAAGTTCATAAATATTTTAGCTTCAATGTATCCCAAAGAATCAGCGAAGAATGAAGACGTCGTGAATGAAATTTATGGTTACTTTAACAGCATCTGCATCGCTCATTCTGTACCGAAAAGAACGTCGTATCCAAGCTGTAGGATGCGGAACTTGATTCAACCGAAATCGTAACTTCACCTCCACAGTTCATTGTCTTAGGAAAGAATACCAAGAGTCCATCTTGTTCCAGTTATAGCCGTTGTGGGCGCAGTCTGCGAGCTCGCCACGGTGGAAGGACAGAAGAATACACGATGAAGACCCGGATTGAGAGCTTCAGAACGCTTCAATAGGCAGGCTACTTATAATAATGGTACTTTCGCACAGTTTATTCCTAGTCATCAAATGTTCATGACATGAGTCTTCGTCATCGCTTCGACCGACCGCCGACGGTATGTCGTAAGCGGTTGAACAGTATATTGGCTTTGTGTTTGGAAGCATTTGTAGATTTGCAGAGACATAATGCCCTTCATTCGTGTTGATGATGTTCAGCAACTTCACGAGAGCATTCCCACCCAAACATCCTAAGACGATACCTCCTAGTGTTGGACCAAGAGGCATCGCGATCACTTTGGCAAGCAAGTAACAAGTGACTACCCGGCAAACACTCGCGCAAGGCGCAAGGAGTTGGTAACTATTAATCTTAGAGAGGACGACAGGCCTACACATTGATTGGTTGGGAAAGTTCTCCTAAAGACTCACGCTCACTTATATAGCAAGATGATCCGCATCACATGTTGAACTGGAGTTCTAGAAGACCGGCTGATGTCCAATACCCATCACGTAGTTATATAAATAGCACACATCAATAGACGAAAGTAAATCTCAGCAATTAGAAAGTGCTATCGGGGTTGGGCGATGGTTCGACCTTTCTCAAGACCACGTGGCCCCGTACACTGCTATTTGAATCGTTGCCTACCTGTCGCTGTCCTCATACAGTCCGCTGAGCTAGGAAACGTCTCGCAAACACGTACGTATGTTGCATACGAATAGACGAGAAAACCAGGAAGATGAGGCCCAGAGACGCCACATTGGTGTGGAAACTTGTCAGCGAGTCACTGTCACCGACGCGATGAGAGGACGATGCGTGGTTGCCAGACTCGACCGAGGCAAGATGCACTGATTCCAAAAGACTCTGCAAACAAATATCGTGGCTGAGTGTATTGTCGATGTATTTGAGTTACCAAAAAGCATCCACTTTATACAAACAATTATGGATGTGGAACGACAGCTCTCAAGAAACTTCATGAAGGACTCAAGATACGCGTATCCTGGCATCAAGACCGTTGCCGCCAGCTAAATCCTGTACAACAAACACCCCCGGAGATCCAGCTAGCAAAGCTTGGCCACCAACAGGGTGTTTGCAACAATACTGCTGTCAATTGACCGGAGAAACATCGAACCTGTCGCAGACCCTGCCTCCAGATCATCGTCCAAAGCCCGGACAAATTGGCAGTATCATATAAAGACGGCTTAAACACCTTCCGTCGACCAGGAACACGCCAGAAATCAGAAAAGTCGCGACGCCCGAGGCGTGTCCATGTTTCATCAAAAACTGTCAGGAAGTCCCGACAACCTTCTTCGGTCATTTTCCAAGACGCTCACCCCATACATCCGCATCAAGCACCACCACGTACGACTCTAATAGAATACCCCCCAGACAGTCAAAGAGAAAGACGGAGATAATGCCATGTCTACATCCAAAGTTAGGGTAACAGCACAAAGAAGAGCCTCCGCATCTCAAGGTTATTAAAATCACTTCATTTACATGAAAAAGCTCGGAGAGCTGATTCTTATTTGTCTTGGTTGCCACCTATGTGAACAGATATCCGCGCTTTATAGAGAACTACCTCAACCGTTCTTTCGCCTACCAGTCCGAACAAAGTCAAAGATTTCAGACATTGGTGGTTCTATCTTTCCTTGCTACATGTACTGGAGTATAAATCTGGCGAGGATCCCAAGAGGATGAGGTCCATCCACAATGATAAGCCTCCGTGTCCCGCACGTCTACAAGCAGATCTACCTGAGGACAGGCACCAAGCTCGTAACGATCTAGGAGATCGTTGACAGCTAGCTACTACATCACATCTCACAAGCGCAGATATGGTAGCTCCATACTCGGGATACCCCATTGAGTATTGTAAACAACACCCAGCAACCGTGTAAAACTAGAGAGCTAGAATTAACGTCAATAAGCTGATGGGCCTCAGGTACGACATGCTCGAACCACAAGCGATTCAGCATTCCATAATTCAACAATTCAAGAAGATGCTTCCAGCAGCCAAACATGTCATGCAGGAGTATGTCGTAGAGAGTAGATTTCGACAATTACAGAACGGCTTTTGAACAAAC